TCGTTAGGGCTTTTGGTTTAGAATGATTCACGCAGCAACTACTATTATGATAAATATTTAAAAAACACACTGCACAATTAAAATTAATGTTTTAAGAAGAAAAGTTTAATGTATTCGCATATCTGATACAAAAGTAAATATAATACAGAAATTATTGTAATTGTGTCATCAGTGGTGTTAATAATAATTACTAGCAATTTGTAATTTAAGTGGAAAAAGTGCCGCAATATCCAGATTTTCACATATAAACTACAAATTAGAGTTTTCATTTCATGCTATAATTAGCCAGACAAGATTTTCTCTAAAAGCTTTTCTCGAGATAAAATGAAACCCCACTTTCTCTTGTATTAAGTTTTCGAGCAGAATTGTGTAGAATTGATATTCTGATTACCACAAAGTAAGTAAGATTTATTGATTCGTTTTTACTTGGTGCATTAAAAATAGCTTTAGAAGGGATATAATTAAGCAAATTGATTTGACTTAGTTGAAACTCTTTTATTGTTTTTATATAAGCTTAATTTATTTAGATCATTCGTTTAAAAGAAAGTTGGTTTTAGCACATCATAAACTACTTTAATATAATTTGTTATCGAAGTATCATCGGTTTTTAACTAGTTTAGCAATCAGATGTGGAAAATCAATTAATAAAGAATAAGTAATGACAAAAAGATACATTGACAAAACTCTAATTCTGTTTCGAAATATCAGTATGAACGGTACTAATTATTTATTTGAAACAAGAAGGTAATGATTTGATTGTAGATTTTAATAGAAATAATAAACTTATCATTTACTTTGTATAATTGTCATATATTACAAACCATTGTAACTAGGAGTTTTGTATAATTTTATTTCCTTATGTTGGAAATTAAATTTCGGTAAAATTAAAAATTCTTAAAATAATAAGATTAAGATTACATTAAAACACAACATTCTGTTTCACCGGCTGTGATTGGTGTAATTTTTCACGAGATTATGTTCAACCAATCAGCGGTCGCGTTGTCTCGAGTGTAAACGTAACGATTTGTCATTGTTCATTATAAAAGAATTATTAAGGCTGTCGCTCACTAGAGCGCGCCGCACGAAAGCAGGCGGGAGCACACCGGAGCGGCTTTGTATACACACTCACTACAGCGTACCGAAACGGCAATATCTTTGCATCAACCGATAGGGACAGTTCAGTTCACGCTAAAGTAGGTTTAAAATGGACTCATCCTATGAAGAAGATGAAAAAGAAAAGGAAATGTTGGGTACATAACATATGTAAAAAACGAGTTGAAGGCGAGTTCTATACGTTATTTCCCGATCTCATGGACGATGAAATTAAATTTCATCAATACTTCCGGATGCCACAGGAAAAATTTATGAGTTTGTTGGATATTTTAAAGCCAGAAATACGTGTATATACTAGTCTATACGTGTAACATACTATTAAATACATATTCATATTGTAGTATAACAACCCCGGGTTCGATCAAAAAAAATATATAAACGTAGTTGTGGCCAAAACTATGTGATCGTCATAAGGAATACCTACGTTGTATGTATCTATCTTTTATTGACTGGAAGGCGCTGGCTACTAACTTTAAAGAGGAGAAGTATGGTTTAATTTTATAAAACAAAAGCAGAGTAAATACACCTAACTTTATTATTTACGTACAACAGTCTTCAAATTAAACATGTGACAAATAGAAAGAACAACAAAAACATTAACAACCATTTAACATAAAATGAGAGTGCCAGGCTCACCTAGAGCTCTTGTGGAGAAAGAGCATGGCAGAGAAACCCACGATCGTTGCTCTAACCACCCAAATATAAACACAAAACAACCGCTAACAAAAGACATAAATTAAGATCCTTTGCTAATGATAAATAAGACCTGACTTATTTAATTTCTCACTAAATGTCACCTCACTCGAATTAAACATACACACTTCCAAGTAAAACTGAAGAGGTTTGGTGTTAGTTAGCCGGCAGGGCCGGAAGGTACTGGAGTCCCATACGGGAGGCAATCCAACTATGAGTTGAGATTTCGGAAGATCTGTTTTAGCAATTCTTTTTTTTGTTTTTAATTATTCTTTTTACAGATTCATGCCTCAAGGGCGAAAATGTTAGTAAATTCAACAAGGCTCTTCTATGCGTATGACATAAAGTGAGCACAAGAAATGCTTTATTATTTGTTTTTCGAACAATGTGATCAGGACAAAACAAGTTAAATGTGAAACAACAGAGTTGTTATTGCAATATCTGGGCAGTCACGACAATATACATATTTTAACATGTAATAAATAATGAACAATCGTTAATAATAATTGTAACAATTTTACCTTAGAAAAATATATGTCCTTGAGCATAAAGCAATGGTGGCTAAACATACAAAGAATTATTATCATAAAACATCTATAACCATCACAATCATAAGATTACATAGAACAATTAACAACAAAGTACTTAAAGAATAATTACCTGCTAATTAATAAGTATTAAACACTTTGATTTTTCACTATTTTGTCGTACTGCCCGCCTATCGTCTTACTCCCATCTCCACACTGTTCCTACTTCAACTATTTAGGCTTCCTTCCAGAATTCCCCACCTAAGAGTTTGTTTTTGCGCTTCCTTCTACCAACTGTCAATATTACGTTTTCATTATTGTACAACAATCATGTAACAGGTGACGTCGAAGTTGCTACGATTAGTACGGTTTTGCACAATATCAACCCGACTTAGGTTTTTTTAGGTTATATTCGTTTATAATCGTAAGAAATTACAAATCATTTGACGACCGTAGCATATTTAATAAAGATAATTGCACAAATGTCTTACATTATTTCCTTTGTTTCTTTATTAGCAGTAGTCATATTTCACTGTACTTTTCCATTTTCTTTAACTCGATATTATCAGCATCAGCGCGACAATGCAAATAAATATATAACAGTACAACTATTCCGCTAAAGCGACGCGATATATTTTTTCTTTATACATAATGTTATATTTTTTATAATAAATACATTAGTGGTACGATTGCCCAACTACCCATAAAACAAATATATGAACAAAGTTAAAGTAGTCGTATAATATGGGACTTCTTAGAATAAAACAATACCGTCATTAAAAAGTGAAAATACTTCTATATCATAATATACATTACTACGTATAAATGAACTAATGATGATTTATTGTGAATATGAGTGGATCAAATAAACTGAAATTTTAAAATCCAAAATTACAGTTCTATGTTTTCAAAGATTTTGTTAATAAATATGAATATAAGTAAAATAACTGTCTTGATTAGGGAAAGCGCTAATCAGATTTTGAGGAGATTTTAAGTGCAGTTCATTTTAAATACATATGCAAATAATTTTAGAAAATGGGGATTACAGGTGAGATGTAACAATGCTACAATTATGAGCTTAGTACTATACACAATGTCTAAAAATTTAAACGATCAAACTTAAAGAAAGTGACTTACTATTAGAGAGCCTTCATAAATGATTACAAGCCACGTGACTGTCGAGTTTAAGCAACCCAACATTGCACGACTGGTATTGGTACCGAAAAATCCCTAAAACACCAGCCGATGAAACAGAATATTGTGCGTTTAATGTAGATAATCTTGGTCGTATTACTTTAATTTTTCCGAAAGGACCCTGCGCCCTGTCTTTATGAAAATGTGGCCTCTGTCAAATTGGCTGAAATTGTGGTAAGTTGTTGGCTTTGTGTTACTGACCAAAATCTCCACAGTACTTGGGTCCGAAAATCAATTATTTCCTACTTATAGCGGTCTGAGTTAGTTCTGCTGATGTTGGCTGCAAAGTAGTAAGAGTTGAATATTGCAATAAAAACATATTCACATATTTGTGAAATATTTATAGAAAAAATTAACCGGATGACTTGGAAAAGTTACGAATTTTTGACATATGCCAAACACCAAACTGGCCGCATTGGCCGTTGGCAACAGTAGTTTGTAGATTGCGTTCATATATCTCTCAGTTAAATGCAATAATATCAAAAAGCAAAAGTAACAATAAGTGAATTGGATAATGGAATAATAATCAATATTATGGTTCAAATTTCAGTCAATTTTACCGTTCCAACATTTTCATAGACAGTGGGGTCCTTTATTTGCTAACGTAACGGAAATAAAATTACTTTTCCAAACAAAATTACTGGTCACATCGCTTGCAATCATTTATGAATGCTCTGTACTATTGCAAGTACTATGAAAGGAAGACTTGTAATTAAGGGACCAAAAATAGTTAGTTGTCCTAACTATTTGCGATCTAATAACAATATTTGCCGTCAAAATCAATCTTCAACCTTCAGGCCATAAATGTTAAAGGCTTCTGGACTTTGGGTGTAATTTTGTAGGTACTTGAATGTTTTAAAGAATTTGTGTGTGTTTTGGTCATGTATTCAATTAGTTCAGTAGATACATTTATGTTCACAGAAACACGATAAAATAATGCATGAATCAAATTATTTGAACATAAACTTCTACCGAATGAAAATCATTTTGATCTTCCATTCCAAAACTACATAAGAAAAAGAAATATAATGGTAGCTAGCTATCTAGATAACAACAAATTGTCAGTGCTGAAAGTGAGCATAAGCGAACTAAAAGAATTTTTCCTAGAGAGAATAATGTATTTTTTATCAGAAACTTTAGAAAAACAGTATGGTCGCAAGTTTTGCGATTTTTATTTTTCTACAATTTTGAGAGAAAAAGTTGATTCCATATTTAATTCACGTAATACCAATACCAATAATTCCCAAATGCAACAATATTGCCACGAATTCTCTTCCTTTAACCGATGCATTATTGATTTAGTCAATATGTTACAAACAACTAAGTTATAATACAGTTAATAACTGGTTATCAACAAGATGATGTAAACTTCAAAATAGTGACCATATAATTCTTGAAATTGTGTAGTGATTTCTTTAATCATATAAGTAGTATATAATTTAACCGAATTAATATATTTTTTGTTTCCGACAGTGCTCAAAAGATGCTAGCAATGGAGTACTGCATACCTCATCAACATAAATATGCTTGTTCGACAATGTCGTCTGAAACATTAAGTGGCAGTTGCGGTAGCAGGAACAATCGGATCCGCACTGTCAGGCTCGTCAGACCCAGCAATGGGCCTTTACCACCACCTAACCTCAGTTGCCGTCATGGACCTTCCTTAGGATTCAGTATCAGGGGTGGAAGGGAACACGGGACTGGATTTTTTGTTTCCTTCGTGGAACCCGGAACGGAGGCGAATAACCAAGGGCTAAGGGTAAGAAACTTATTATGTTTTTTTTTGTTTGGAGGGTGTATATTAACGCATTCTCTCTCAATTTCTCAGCAACAAGCGGCTCGTGATCGGTTTGTATGGGGCTAAATGTAGATAGAGCAGACACTTCGCAATTTTTCTTTTTTTAGTCAGCATTAGGATATTAGTATAATTTAAGATAAATTGAAGGGATAGAAGGAGAAATATTAAAATAAGTACCTATATTAAAAGTAGTTTTGTGTTATTAGTGTGATTTACAGCAAAGTCTACAAGAAAATTTAATATAATATAAATAAATGAATAATTAATTAAATACCAATGTATCTTGATTTAAATAAATAATTATTAATTATAAAAGATTGTTAATCAAATATGTTCAAAAAAATCGATTTCAGTTTAGAAATTGAATTAATTCAATTAATTCACTAAACTTATTTATAGATGAACATCATATAATACTACCTGGTGGTCGTTTGTTTCATGTAGAAATAGAAATCAATTAAATACATACGTATAAATTTTTTAAGTTAGAATCGAATCGAGACGTCAATTTTCTTTAACTTCTAATCAAATTGAGGTTTATTTCGCAAAGTAGTCCTCTCTGGTGAGGAAGTTAGTGGGGAACGCAGAGTAATTAAAACTGTTTGATGATTTTATTTTAATTCAAATAGAAAAAACGTACCCATCGTAATGTATATAAAAATAATGGATCAGTCTCAATTCCCACATCACCTTTTTTTAACAAAAGTTGTTATGGTAGGAAACTAGAGGATAGTTTTAAATACAGTCGATATTCCTTTCTTTCGAATCTAACATATTGAATTGGCGTACTCAGTATTCGATTTTACTTGAATAATAATGATTATGAGAACCTTTGTCTCAATTCAATTCATCAATTTTTTAGCGAATTGAACTTCATCAATGAAATTAGTTCAATCAAACTTTATCATTCAAACCACTGAGCCGCCTTCGAATAGCTGAAAATTTGAAACGTAGGTACTTGCATGTGAACCTAGACCTCAAATATTTGTTTTTAATTTTTTCTTTTAACAAGTACAGTTATTACTTCTTTGTCGATGAACTGAAGTCGAAACGTGATGTCCCGATTTAAGGCATGTTTCAGTTTGTCAGCGATTTCAATATGACATAACATGAAGATAAATTTTTAATGGCTTAAACTCTTGTTGAGCTACTAAAAAGTTAATCAACTGTGTTTCTTGTAATTATTTTTATTCAACTTTTATTGATTGACTTCAATTGATCAATGGATTTAGAAATGCGGAACGTCCCTACAGAAAATAATTCGAAACTGCTATACACATTAAAGTAAAATAAGTGAAATGGTTGAATGATTTCCGAGCTGGTTGCCACGTCGTCGATTTACAACTCTTGACGTTTCGAGAGATATATCGCTCTCTTCTTCAGAAGTTACTCTGAAACTGAAAACCCAAATCGATCGTAATAAAAATTGGAAAAAGGAAAAAAATTGTTTTTATAAACAAATTATTTTACTTTCCCAGAAGATTAATAATGATTCTAGGTCATCTTTAGATTTAGATTTAGATACAATAAAGACTTATTAAGCAAGTTTATAGAAAATAAACAGCTTTTGACATCCAGTTGAACTAACTTTCGATAGTTATTATTTAATATTACCGCTACCTATATTGTCTGGCAATAGAAAAAGGCGTTTTCTTAAATTAGAACATAGCAGTGTCATAAAATAAAAAAGAGGGGAGGAGTTTCAAAAATGTTCATAAACGAATGATTACAGTATGTGAAGATGAAGATCCATCATACTTTAAAATAAAATATTGATTAATTTCGGTAAATGCCCCGAGAAGTGGAAGATTATCAGATGCAACAAATCCTGATGTTTGGAGTAAACTGCAAATAATGGTTCTCGAATATCGTCTTTTAAAAGTGTCTACTATTACTAAAGTTTTAAATAACTATATTTGAAGCAAGTATTTTGTAAATTTTACATGGGTAAAATTTCAAAAGGACTCAAATTTGTTGGCTCCTGAAAAAAATTGCCTGAGCAGCAAATTTCTCAAAATAATTTACAATTTGTGAATGTAGATCCTAATTTCTTCTCCAAAACGATAACTATTATAGTTTTGGGTACATTACATGAAGCCAGAAACAAAATTAGAGACTACACATAATTTACAGCGTAGGTTAGAAAGAAAACTTTTCTAGAGGGTCTCATACATATGTAAATACTTATATTTGAACAAATAATCGTAGCCTAGTTAAATATAATAATTGCAAAACAATATGCGTAATATGTAACTAATAACAACAGTTCAATTGTTATTTATCAACGCTGTACAAATACGTGACCTGATAAAGTTGAAACACAATGAAGTGATAAAAAGAGTAATAATGACCAAAAATACACTTCTGTAATTACATTTTCTCTGTATTTCACCTCATTTTCGTAAACTTTATACGAGAACTGGTTTTAGAGATTTCCACAATTTTCAATTCGTAAACAATTTTGAAAAGTTGATATTTGCCAAATGCCGAAAATGAAAAAATCAAATGCGTCACTGTGTGAAATTGAAAATTTTCCATAGGTTGATTAACTACGTCTCTTCCTGCTAAATTATTCGAAAAATAGAAATATAATCCGAAGAAAAATATAGTATATTAAAGAAACAAAGACCAAATCAAAAAATTATTGGATCGTCTAATGGGATTGTAGATAAATATATATTTTTTCTTTTTTAATGTGGTTCATTTTCAAATATTTATTAACTTCTGCTTCAAAAATTTGTTGCGTAGTATAGGTTCTTCTATAATAGAAATTTTCAGATACTGTTTTAATAAAATGAAAAGCGTGTGTGCTAGGATTAATTATAGGTAATGAATGAATCAAAATATTTTCAAATTATGATAAAAATCGAGGAAAGGCCTGGATCCGACTGTCAATTTTATTACAATGAGGGCCACACTGGTGATCGCTATACAGGGTGTTTCATAATTGGATGTCAATATTGAAGGGTGTTAATCTGTGTGTGATTTTAAGACAAAAAGTTCATATAAACATAGGTCCGTTTTCGCTTTATTTTTGATACAGGGTGATGAATATCTGTTTGTAAAATTGATTTTTTTTTAATAACTCCGAAACTAAATTAGATAGTTTTATAAAACTTAGTATGTGTAAACTAGGTGCAGAGACACGTCTTTTGCATAATAAACGAATTTTCATTTTTAACCAGTGGCGTCCCAATTAACTTCAACCTCATTATTTTGAATGAAAAAAATGATACGCCACTGCATTTTTGAAAAACAAAAATTATTGTATAAATGGTGCTTTATTTTGTAATAAAAAAGATCTCTTGAGTTTTTTTCTTATCTTGCACTGTTTTTTAGTAAAAAAATAAAGAACAACATACTAACCCACATTGAGCCAAACAGAAAGCATGATATAAAGATTACCTAGTAGGCTGTGGTTGTTGATTACTGTTGTGATTTATTAATTTTGACAGTTCAGTTCATTCAACTCAATTTTGATACTTAAAATACCTGTACAGTGTTATTTGATAATGGTTGAGTTTACTAATCAAGAGTTGGCAGACATTCATTACATGTATGGCTTGGCTGATGGCAGAGCGCCAGAGGCTAAACGATTATATCAAGAGCGTTTCCCGAATAGAGTCACACCAGATAGACGAACATTCTCAAACATACATAGAACGTTGGCTGAAACAGGTACTTTTAAGCCAAATAATCAATTAAAAGGTGCCCATCGGACTACTAGAACTCCAGAAGTTGAAGAAGCAGTTTTAAATTCAATTGATGAAAATCCTAATATTAGCACTAGACAAATTGGAAATAACTTGAATATCTCGCACATTCTAGTTTGGAGAATTCTTCACGATTTTCTGTTATACCCGTATCATATTCAACGGGTCCAAGCCTTACTTCCTCGAGATTTTCCTTTGCGAATCAACTTTTGTCAATGGTTTTTGGAGAAAATTGCGCAAAATCCCTTGTTTGACTGTGAAATAATGTTTACAGACGAAGCTAACTTCTCTAGAAACGCTATAAGAAATTTCCATAACAATCATGTTTGGGCCGAAGAAAACCCGCATGC